AGGCTCAGAGTTGCCCCCCAAGGGAGAAGTTCTCCATCCACATACCCAATAGCGCCCCCTCCTAAAGTGGTACCCAGGGCTTGTGTCCCCCCAACCCCACTAGTTGGGCCGTGGATAGAGGAGTAGGAAGATGTCCTGGATCAGTAAACTGTATATAGGGTGACAGTGTGTGCCTTTATGGTCAGAGGAGTAGGAAGTATATATAGGGTGATAATGTGTAATATGTAAGCTATATATAGGGTGATAATGTGTAATATGTAAGCTATATATAGGGTGATAATGTGCAGCTTCATCTAACAATGGAAGAGGGAGCACTGATGAATCAGTGAGCAGCTATACATAGGGTGATGGTGTGGAGGGATTTGTCAAGAAACTTACCAACAGAATGTAGTCACCTACTTTGTCAACATCGAGGATATGATATTACGCTCAATATTTGCAATGTTTTTCTGTGTTTTGCAACCCTATGGGGCTATTAATAATAGACAACCACAATTTTTAGAGATCTCTGTCTTTCTGACATGAAGGAAAAGCCACAGTAAAACAACTTTCACTGGAGTTGAGAATCTCCATCTACTTGATCACATTAATCACCAGAATCTCAGTAATTACATCCATCAGTCACGTCCTCTGCACGCCAGATGTTTTCTCCCCATACATCCAATGCTTTTGGCTCTACTGCTCAGCCTGCATCATTTATACCTATTATACCTAATTAATTCCTGTAATTTGGGTCAAGAGACACAACAGAATCCATATTTTCTAAGCTGCCAGCCAAGAACAACTGAAACTTCGCTGGCAAACCAAACCAGCGTGTTATTTATTATGCAATAAAATGTAACCCAAACCAGGAGGCGTTGTTACAAAATATTTTTTTAATTTGTTACCAGTTATTTGTGTAGTCTAAGTGTGTAGAGAAGAAGGATATGAGTCACATGGTGGATGTCTACAGTACTACAATGCTGAGATCCCAAGAGAAGACATGGTCAATTCTGTATATTAAAAGACAAACTCCAGCCTAAACAAAAGCTTTTTTATAGTGTCTGAAGACAGAACTGTTGATCTCTAAATATAACCTCACAACAACATTGTCTCCGTTTCTGAAGCTGAATCTGCTTATAACATGCTAATCAGCTAATCTCCTAAAGTAAAGTAGACCTCC